GCCTGAGTATGCCTAAAAGTTGGGTGGGGCAGGGTTTCAAATTGCCAGGGTGTGGTGAACTAAAGGTTGAGACTCAGATATGGAAGCTGCCTGTGTCCTCACACGGGGAATGGGGAGGGCTCAGCAAAGAAACAAGGGCCTCCACCAGCTGCCCCAGTCCAGGAGAATTCTGCCTCTCCAGCCCCCGACCCAAGCAAGACAACTCAGTTCCCCATCATATGTCCGTGTCATCTTTCCAGCTGCTGCCCCAGGGCAGGAGCTCAGAGCAAGTGATTCTGTTGGTGGGTAAGTCCACGTGCAGTCCCTTTAAGAGGAGCATCTTGGAGTACAGCCGCACTCAGTCTCACTCAGTCACAATCTCCGCTTTTCACAACCACAAGTTATGGGGACTTCTCTCCCTGGCACTGGAACCCTAGTCTGGAGTGGGGCTGGGATCGCTCCCTCATCTGGGGGTGGAGGGACCCCCACAGCTGAAATATCCCTCCGGATCTTTAATGGTGACATGCAGATGTGGGACCAGCTGACTCTTGCTTCTCTGCCCTTCCTACCAGTCTGGAGGTGGCTTCTTCTGCGTGTCCTTAGTTGAAAGGCTTCATTCAGTTCAGCTTGATTTTAGGTGATTCTCAATAATGGTTGTTTTCTAGATTTGTTGTAATTTTGATGTGGTTGTGAGAGAAGGTAAGCACAGCGTTTACCTACTGCGCCATCTTGGTTGTCCCCTTAAAATCTTTTTATTAAAGGTTCTCATTTGCTATAGGAAAAAATGCACACATGTCTGACTACATGATATTGCATGAACTACCTACATCTTGAACTTGTTCAAGGCACACTTCCCTTCATGCTGTACACTTTGTTGTACTTTTTCTACTTCTTTGCAGAAATGATGCACTTTAGTCTTTGTTTCCTCTGCCCAAAACACCATTTTTTGTTGCTGTTGTTATTCCTCTCTTCACTAACTGCTACTCAGAAATATTTTTCAGAAGAAAGCCTTTCCTGACTCACTAGATTCAGTAAGATCTCCCTGTAATCAGCTCTCCATATTGTAACTCCCATCAAGGCAGTGTGTATCTTCTTGCCCACTGTATTCTTAGTGACTAGCCAGTGCTTGCAATATATACAATAAATATTTGTTGAAAAAATTATGTACATTCCTGCAGGTGAAAACTAATGTGATTTTGTACAGATTTAAGAATTTTTAGGGCCAGCCTAGTGGTGCATTGGTTAAGAGCTGGCTTGGGACGCCAGAGGGCCCCGGTTCGGATCCCACATATAAGGGCCAGTGATACTACCCTCTACAGCTAAGATGATGAACAACAGCTCAACCTGGAGCTAGGCTGCCATGAGTTGCTGGCGATGGCATAGGCTGCAGCCACTACTGCAGTGGGTTGCCATGGGCTACCGTGTGTAGCCAGCAGCCAGCGTGAGCGGCTAGCAGCCAGCGTGAGCGGCTAGCAGCCGCCGTGAGCGGCCATCCAGGAGCCAGCGACTGATCTGCTTCACCTGGGAAGAGCACAATGATGGTGCCAACTTGGGCCAGTGAAGCAACGTCCTCCAAAACTAGACTGAAGAACAAAAGGATAGCAACTTGTCTGTTCCCCTTTCCCCAATTCCCCAATAAAAATCTTTAAAAAGAAAAAACAATTTTTATAAATTTAAATCTTGATAAATAGGAAAAAAATTGTTTTTTGCTCAAGAACACTATTTAAAAATATTTCTTAGGGCCGGCCGAGTGGCACATTGGTTAAGAGCTGGCTTGGGACTCCAGAAGGCCCCGGTTCGGATCCCACATATGAGGGCCAGTGACACTGCCCTCTACAGCTAAGATGCTGAACAACAGCTCAACTTGGAGCTGGGCTNAGTGTCACTGGCCCTCATATGTGGGATCCGAACCGGGGCCCTCTGGCATCCCAAGCGAGTTCTTAACCATCGCGCCACTCGGCCGGCCCTATAGATCCTTTATAGAATGTTTATTTGTATGGCCTTTATCATTACTAATATAGATTCTTGAGAGATGACTGTTAAGATTTGTATGCTTCATAAATTATTTGGGAAACTGCAAAATTTTTGTATAAATTGTACTTTTATGAATAAAATCCATTTATGTGCACAGTGAACACTTTAAGTCCCTGTAAAGTGAATCATTTTATAAAGAAATTTTTTTTCTTAAGCTTTTATTGGGGAATTGGGGAAGGGGAACAGCCAAGTTGTCCTTCGATCTTAGTTGTGGAGGGCGCAGCTAGCTCAGCTCCAAGTCTAGTCACCATCCGGCTGCCCATCGGCAGCTCGCGGCTGCTCAGCTCAAGGTGCTGTGTTCAATCTTAGTTGCGGGTGGGCATAGCCCACCATCCCATACGGGAGTCGAACCGGCAACCTTGTTGTTTGGAGCACGTGCTCTCTCCAGCTGAGCCATCCTGCTGCCTGTTGGCAGGGCAGCTCAGCTCAGCTCGGGCGCAGCTCACTGGCCCATGTGGGAATTGAGCCAGTGACCCTGTTGCTAAGAGCTCGCACTCTTAACCAACTGAGCCGCTCGGCCGGGCCAAGAATTTTTTTTTTTAAAGGAAAATGATAGCTTTTTGTAAAGAACACTTTTTATGTGAATATCCCCTTCCAAAATTTATCTTTATCTTAAATGTGTGCTTTTAGACTCTGTCTAATAAAAAGCCTTACCTAACCTATTGATCACATACATTTATTTACTACCTCAATATACAGAGGGTGCCAAAAAAATTTATTTTAAGAAAGGAAAAAACTGTATTAATATATAGCGATAACAAAAGATGAATACAAGTTACATTTGACTTCTGCAATTACAAGAGGTGCTCACAGTGGTTATCGTCAGCGTCCAGACACTTCTGATTGTGGCAAACTGCTTAGTACTTGAGCAATGTTGACCAAACTGTTAAAATCTCTTAAAATGTGTGCACATTTTTTTGGCACCCTTAGTATTTGTTAGTTTGATTTCTGAAATTAGCCAATTAAGTTTTTTTTTTAAAATAAAATACTACTAATGTATTTAACATGCATGTGTAACTACTAAGTAAACTTCTTGTGGTTATATTTTTTTCCTGGTATTCTTTTTTTTTTTTTTTTAAAGATTTTTNTCCCTTGGGCTCGCTCAGTTTCTCTGACTGAGTCCCTTGGTCTCGCTCTTAATCCTACTTTTGTCTCTGACTCTTTATTCAATCTACGCCGCCCCTCAAGAGAAACCCGTTTGCCCTTGCCATGCTGGATGTGACACATGTGGGAATCGAACTGGCAACCTTGGTGTTATGAGCCTGTGCTCTAACCACCTGAGCTAACCAGCTGCCCAAGACTTAGCTTCTCAAAGTACATTTCACATGACTTTGTAAAAATATCAGTTGCATACAGTAGTCTTCAAACTTCTAGAAGTAGCAGAAAAGCATATTGTTCTCTGAGAGTATACTGTAAATAAAATACCATTTGAAGACTAGTCAAGGTATGGCAAAGGGTAATAAAATGACCCCTCGAAATTTGGACTGGCAACTGGAAGCCTATGGTTTGCAGTGGTAAAATAATCAACTTATCATAGGAAGATATCTTAGGACCATGTGTCCACTACCTCTCTGTGCATTACCATCTGGAAGCAGCTGGTCTTATGGGATTACGGAATGACCTACTGAAAAGTCAGCTATAATGCCTGCTGCATGGCAACATCTTGAGCAGCTTAGATTCTATCTTTTTGGATGAAATATATATTTTGAATTAAAAAATGGCCTATTTCTCTCATAACAAAATTATACAGGTTTGGGGATAGACTGATCCAGTCTCATTATCCTTATGTGGAGGTTTTAGGGGTCAAGGGAAGAACATTTCTACTAGGGAACACAATTATGATTCCATTGATTTCTATCCGAACATAATTATTCAATATCTTTTCTTTTCTATTTCCATTTCACTTGAAGAAGCTCTTTCTTCTATCCACTACTGTACAGAGCAGGCAAATTTACAAGTAAGTCCATCAGTCACCTTGAGGTGATCACGAAGGCGCTATGAGTAATAGACATCACCTCAAGTCCTTCGACTTGGAAAACAGTGGTCCTCAGTGGCCACTGTATTGTTTTCTCATGAGGTGGAACACTTGCAGTGTGCTCATCCGACAAGCAGGACACTCTGGTATCTGCTGCCCATGTCTATGGAACCTGCCTAACCTAAGCGCCAACCCAGTGAGCGCTCTGCCTCGCTATGAAATCCCGGAGAATGCAGGCCCTGACAGGAGTTCCTAGGCCTGGGTTTCAGTTGTACTAGCACTGTCCAGCTTTATTTTATCACCCTCCCAGCAGCCACCGCAAGTCTAGCTGTGGACGATGTCCCTCACTGGCCCATGCTGGTATTATGATCATTGCAGTCTACCTGGCTGAGGCAGTCGTAGGTCGCCAGCCATTGGCTGGCTGCTAACAGCAGCTTATAGAGGCTCTCACCTGCAGCTGGCCAGCAGCCCAGCTTCAGGTCGTGCAGTTGTTCATAATCTTAGCTGTAGCGGGTACAGCTTACTGGCCCATATGGGAATCGAACCCCGCAAACCTGTTGTTCAGAGCCCGTGCTCTTACCAACTGACCTATCAGGCCACCCCTGCACAGCTTTATGATTCACACCTCGCTGGATCTCAATATTCTTTCCATAAAATGGAGCGGTGACAGGGGCTGGGTCTGGAAGGTATATTCTCTAAACTCCACTACGTCGAATCACAAAAGTCCTGGAAAAAGCGTGCTCAGGCTCGCACCTTTTGGTAAGGATGGCGATGGGGTAGGGGCTGCCACGGGGCCCCCAGCCTCCTTCTCCCCGGCGGGGCCTGAGTGGGAGCGCCAGCTGTGAGCGGAACCCAGGCTTCCAGTCAGCTTCCTGCCCGCGCAGGCCCAGGAGCACCATCCAAACGCTTCCCCGACTCTCCGCTCTCCGCACTCTGGTTCCCGGGCCGCCTGAAGGGACCCGGTTGGCGGCGACACCGGAGGGGGGCGGGTCAGGAAGTGGGGGCGCGGCGGCCGTGAGCGGGTCTTGGGCTGCCCAAGGCTTCCGCGTCGCGGAGGGCGGGAGGAGTCCGATCTCACGGGAGCCGCAGGGGTGCCCCTGGCCTTCGCGGAAACGATGGCGGAGGAAGAAGGTGATGGCCTGGGGTCCAGCACGCCGACTGCCTCCGGAGGTCTCGGGCAAGGGGGGGGGGCGCGAGGGGCCCGGAGGCTTGGACCCGGGCGGCCGCGTGGGGCGGGTGGGCGATAAAGAACTGGGCAGCGTGGGGATGTTTGTGAATAAATTCAGAAGGAGCCGAGTGAATGGCCCGAAGTTTTGTCAGCCGAAGTGGGAACAAAGGTGGAGTTGAAAGTTGGGAATCGGGTAGGCAGAGCAAAAGCTGTGTGTGTGACGGGGGCGGTGGAGAGGGAGGGGTGTGAGCAGATAATTCCTGTGGTAAGGGACAAAGCTTGGTTTAGAAGAGGCAGGTTTAGGCACTGATTGAATATTTGAAAGAGAGAGCTGTTTAACCAGATGACCTTCATTGAGTGCGCTCTTTAGAAGGCGGTAGATATTGACAAATACAAAGTTACCAGGTGAGAGGAGCCTCATTCCAAGGGTCCAAAAAGACGCAGGGATTCAGGATAAACGTGGTAAGGTGATTTGGGAGGGGATGAACAAGCGGAAAAGAAGGCCAAGTTCACTTAAATGATAGAGGAAGGTAGCGAAGGGTGAAGGACTTCGTAAGTAGATGGGCATCAGGAGGCCAAGAGTGCTTTGAGAGGGAAAGTGGGTGGACTGGAGAAAGCTTTCCTGGACGCCGCAGGGCCAATGCCAAGAAAATTAATTCTTTCAGCAGTATTTAGTCATAGAAAATGAATGATAGGTATGAGAGAAAAATGGAGAATTGGGAGGAACTTAGCTAGTAACAGTTATTACAGGAAACGTTCATGGCATGATAACTTCATGATACCCGTACTGATTTCAGGAACAGATACATACGATGTTGTCACTTGACTGAGCAGTTTTCATATTGGTGGAAAATATGACTTTTTATCCTATTGAGGGGAGTTGTGAATGTGATCTATTTAGATTAAGCCTTAGCGAACCAAGAATGCAATAACGGAGTTTCAAGAATTCAGTAGAAAGCGATTTTTAAAAATTAATTGAAGTGTTGGCTGTACTCTGACTTGCTTTCCTGTCTCTGTGCTCACTGGCTTCATATTTGCCTCTTTGAGTTTTCAGAGTGTTAAAACTGATTAAAATATTCAACCTAAAAACAGCTTCAAAAACAAAACTATAGCTGGTAAGGAAGAATGTAATTCCATTTTTAACCTTGGTGTTTTGTTTTTTTTTTTAAGATTTTGTTTTGGACTTGGGGGAGGGGAACAGCGTTGGGGAATCAGGGAAGGGGAACAGACAAGTTGCTGCCCTTTTGTTCTTCAGTCTAGTTGTGGAGGACGTCGCTTGACTGGCCCATGTTGGTATTATCATTGTGCTCTTCTCTGGTGAGGCAGATTGGTTGCCGGCCTCTGGACGGCCACTCACAGCGGCTCTTCGCAGCTCACACTGGCTGCCAGCCACATGTGATAGCCCATGGCAGCCCACTGCAGCAGGGGCTGCAGCCTATGCTGTCGCTGGCGACTCACGGCAGCCCAGCTCCAGGTTGAGCTGTTGTTCAGCATCTTAGCTGTAGAGGGCAGTGTCACTGGCCCTCATATGTGGGATCCGAACTGGGGCCCTCTGGCGTCCCAAGCCAGTTCTTAACCATCGCGCCATTCGGCCAGCCCTAGTTTTTCTTTTTCTAATTGTACATCTATGGGGGTAGGTTGATAAGCTAGTTTGTATGTTCCCATGACCATTTTCATGCTTAAGTTAAAGCATAAAAGAATTAATACTGTGGTACTGAAGTCTTGAATGTTATACATCGTCCAAAATTAGAAATTGTTTTAGGAAATTATAGTTATAGCTGATTAAATAGATATGATGTGGAACCAATTAAAAAGACCATACTATTTTGTAAAATTTACTTACATGGTATAAAATGAAAAATGATTTTTGGTTGTAGAATTACAGATATTCCAAAGTAATTAAGTACATCTTATATAAGACAAATAATATATTGTAGTTATTTAAAATAGAATTTCATTCAACTTGTTTTTACTTTTTATTTTTTATTTTTAAAGATTTTATTGGGGAAGGGGAACAGCCAAGTTGTCCTTTGATCTTAGTTGTGGAGGGCGCAGCTAGCTCAACTCCAAGTCTAGTCACCATCTGGCTGCCCATCGGCAGCTCGCGGCTGCTCAGCTCAAGGTGCTGTGTTCAATCTTAGTTGCGGGTGGGCATAGCCCACCATCCCATGCGGGAGTCGAACCGGCAACCTTGTGTTAGGAGCACGTGCTCTCGCTAGTTGAGCCATCCTGCTGCCTGTTGGCAGCTCAGTGGCAGCTCAGCTCCGGTGTAGCTCACTGGCCAATGTGGAACTCGAACCGGCAACGCTGTTGCTCAGAGCTCGCGCTCTTAACCAACTGAGCCACTTGGCTGGCCCCTCATTCAACATGTTTTAAAATCCATAATTATTTGGGTGCCTACTGTGGTAGGTGCTGGGATATAATAGTCAACAATAAATGAGTAAAAACCTTCTAATTTATTATAATAATGCTAGTAATGATACTTACAGCAAGCATATCAGTGTGCCAGGCGTTTTTCTGAGTGTTTTACATTTATTTGGCACTTGATCCTTTTTTCTCAAAACACGTTATCTTGTATTCACTGTATTCAAATTAGACTACAGTAAATCCCCAACTTACGAACATTCGAGTTGCGAACTTTCACAGATACAAATGGACCTTGCATTATAAACATTCGTAGATGCAAACAAATAGCATAAGTAGCTCATGTGTGTGAGCTCAGGTGTGGGCCAAATTCTATCTTGCCCTGCATCTCCTATTGCGGATGAGCCTTCAACTCCACCATATCCCCCCTACCCTCCCTCCTCCTATTAATAATTCTTCTTGTCAGTTCACTCCATGCAATCCCGTATATGCCAGTTGTTGTACTGTACTGTACCACCATTTTAAGGTAACTGTAAAAGTAAAAATGGTTTATTTACAGTATTTTTGTGTGTATGTTTAGTTTTTTTATGCTTTACATTGTATATTTGTGTCAAAGGTGTAGAAGACTCACTTTGTCAGACTTACGAATGAGTCGGACTGACTTACAAACAAATCCGACTTAGAACGTTCTCCCAGAATGGAACTCGTTCATAAGTCTGGGACTTACTGTAGTCTATTTTACTTGTATCCACATGTTCTCTATATCCATTTTTACTTGTCATTCACACTCACCTCAATCCACTTCATTGTTTCACTTTTTCTCTAAGTAAATATTCTTTAGAAATCTCATCTTCCAAAAAGTGTCTTTCTTCATGCTGTACAGGGTCAGGGTGTTTATATTTATGCTTCCTGAAAGAAATGTTAGAGCAAAGTGACAGCGTTGAGTAAAGCAGTAATAACACTTAATTTGGAAATTGCTATGTATAGTCTGGATGGACATTTGCAAGCCTATTGGTAGCCCTATTAACTATCTTGTGAAGATCACCGGACCAGAAATGGCAGTTTGTTTTTGTAGCTATGTCATCATTTTCATTTAGTTTGACTTTTTTCTTTGCAATGCTAAAAATGTAAAATAATGAAAGGAAACTTGAATTCTATCCTCAAGCTTTGTTATCAGAATTAATAATCTAGCCTGTCCACTGCTTTGGCTTTTGTTACTTAGCCATCTAGAGATTCTAGGCATTGTTCATCAATTGTGAAGTTATAAGATCAATGTAAAGAAAATGAGGTGAATTTTACACCCAATCGGATTAGTTGGTGACAGGCAAAAAATAAGTTTTAGGGACAAGGTTGAAGAAATTGGCTAAAATTAATTCTGTATTTCCCAAGTTGTACTTTTTGCTCCCACAGTTTTAAGCCACTGAAATCGACGTCTTAAAATCAGTGCATGCATTTAATATGGTAATGTTTTTTTCCCCTTAGTGTCTTAAAATGTATGGCATCTTAGACTTAAGAAAATATAGTATTATAGATCCTTTTTTTTTTTTTTTAAAGATTTTTATTGGGGAATTAGGGGAATAGGAACAGTGCTGGGGAATTGGGGGANAGACTGAAGAACAAAAGGACAGCAACTTGTCTGTTCCCCTTCCCCCAATTCCCCAGCACTGTTCCCATCCCCCCAATTCCCCAATAAAAATATTTTAAATAAATAAATAAAATAAAATGTGTTACATTTTATCTGGCAAATGTAATATAATTCAATTCAACTGAATTTCACAAATATTTAGAGGGCTTTACTCAAAGAAAAGAGGAAGGACTCTTGGTACAAAGTTGGTAAACTGTGTCTACTAAAATAGAAGCTTTGGGGCCGGTCGAGTGGCTCAGTTGGTTAAGAGTTAGCTTAAGAGCGTGAGCTCTGAGCAACAGGACTGCCGGTTCGATTCCCACATGGGCCAGTGATGCTGCACCTGAGCTGAGCTGCCAACAGGTGGAACGATGGCTCAGCTGGTGAGAGCACGTGCTCCTAACAACAAGACTGCCTGTTCAATAGTGGACTACACCTGCCCGCAACTAAGACTGAACTCGGCACCTTGAGCTGAGCTGCCGCCCGGATGGCTCAGTGGATAGAGCACGTGCTCTTAACAACAAGGCTACTAGGTTCAACTCCCACATGGGATGGTGGTTACGCCCACCTGCAACTAAGATTGTAACACAGCACCATTAGCTTAGAGACCACGAATTGCTAACGGGCAGCCAGATGGCGACTGGCACCCTCCACAACTAAGATTGAAGAACAACAACTGGTCCCCTTCCCCAATTCCCCAACACTGTTCCCCTCCCCCAATTCCCAAATTTAAAAAAAAAAGACAGAAAAAAATAGCTTTGCCTAGGAAAATCACAATAATATGCCACTTAGTACCAATAATGCTTTCTTCTATTTATTAGTATTATTTCACATGAGCAATTTGGTCAAAAATCTTTTTCTAGAGGAGTCTTAATTCTAGAAAAACTACTTAAGAAAATGTCCTATAACGTCTATTATGTCCAAACGAAAACATTTAAATAGAATACACATTATTTAAAGCATCCCACTGGAGAA